AATGACCATCTAATTTGGCTTTTTATTATCCTGTCTTAACATCCCATAAACGGATAGATTTATCCCAACTACCAGATGTTAATGTAGTACCGTCAGGAGAGTAACAAATTGAACTAACCTAACTTGAATGACCATCTAATTTGGCGTTTTATTATCCTATCTTAGAATCCCATAAACGGATAGAGTTATCTCCACTACCAGATGCTAATGTAGTACCATCAGGAGAGTAACAAATCGAATAAACTGTTTCAGAATGACCATCTAATTTGGCTTTTTATTATCCTGTCTTAACATCCCATAAACGGATAGATTTATCATCACTACCAGATGCTAAAGTATTTCCATCAGGAGAGTAACAAATTGTATAAACTGTTTCAGAATGACCGTCTAATTTGGCTTTTTATTATCCTGTCTTAACATCCCATAAACGGATAGACTAATCTGCACTACCAGATGCTAATGTATTTCCATTAGGAGAGTAACAAATTGAATTAACACAATCTGAATGACCATCTAATTTGGCTTTTTATTATCCTGTCTTAATATCCCATAAACGGATAGAGTTATCTGAACTACCAGATGCTAATGTAGTACCATCAGATGAGTAACAAATTGAAGTAACTGTTGTTGAATGACCATCTAATTTGGCTTTTTATTATCCTGTCTTAACATCCCATAAGCGGATAGAGTGATCCTAACTACCAGATGCTAATGTAGTATCATCAGGAGAGTAACAAATTGTTCTTACAGTATCTGAATGGCCATCTAATTTTGCTTTTTATTTTCCTGTTTTAGGATTCCATAAATATACAAATTATCGACTGTTAAAAGCTAATGTGCTAGTATTATGTGAGAAGCATACTAACTTAACTTTTTACTTTACCTTGATTCTTGACTTAATTTTTCCTGTTTTAACATCCCACAAAATAATCGAATTTTCCTCACTACTAGACGTTAATAATTTACCATCTGGAGAAATGCATAACTAATTGACTATTCTACAATGACCATCTAATTTATTTAACTCATGTATTTTGATGTTTTTCCATTTACAATTCAACAATTAAGCCTAATTCAAGTTCATTCCACTTATATCTACATTGTCAAATTCTGATTCATTGAATATGCATCTTACAAAATTTCCACCAACTAAAGAGGTATTTCTTATCCTGATATTCTCAAAACATTATTCCCTCAAATCCACTTTCATTTAAACTAGCAAATGAAGAGAATTTGATCCACACCAAATATAGGTCTCATCTAAAGCAGTTAGGTGAACTAAAAATTTTAGGAATCCCATTATCTTCTTATTCAATGATATTTTTGTGATTAGATCCTTTTTACATTCTTCTTAATCATCTGTTGAATAATTCTGTGTATTAAAGTCATGATCCCTAATTTTTTTGAGGGCATCTGTTATTCTCTTAACATTCTTCTCTTCAATAAGAGTCTATTCTTTTTCAAGCAGAGATTAGTCTTCTACCTTTTAACTTTCTATTTCTAAAAGGAATTTGTTTTGATCTTACGAGAGAAATTTTAGGCAGTCTTAAATTCTCTCTTTTTTTAATATGTTTATGAGGATAGGGAGGAATACTTCATCAACCTAATTGGATAAGGACAAAACCTCATACAACACTCTTACTTACTCTTTTTCGTGGTGCATTTTCCTTTTTTTACAAATATTATTGAATTTCTATAACTATATTTTGAGTTTTATATTACAAACCAAAAGTATCTTACACTAGAAAAGATATCACCAAGATTAGCATTTATGATTCAACATTCATATATTCAATTTATTACTTTCAAGTTTAAATCTTTGGTATTGAATTACTGGAACTCACAGAGGGTTAAACCTGAGAAATTTATGTCAATTTGAAAGAGTGAAACATTTTTCTAAAGCAGATTTTTTAAAAGCAAAGTTTTAACTTAATCAAGCTTGTGTTTAAAATGACTCTCACTTTTGACTGATAAATATTATTACTACAGGTTACGGATTATATTAGTATGTATATATAAGTAAACATTAAAAATTAACAAGAAAATTAATAAAATTGATTTTATATTGTATATTTTAAATGGCTTTAATAAAAATCAATTTTTGTTTCTATTTTAGACCATTTTCTAAAATAATACTACCTTTAGATTTACATAATGATCATAAATCATACCCTTTATGATCAACAAACTCCCNCCCAAACCCAAACCCAAACCCAACCCCAACCCCAACCCCAAACCCAAACCCAAACCCAACCCCAACCCCAACCCCAAACCCAAACCCAAACCCAACCCCAACCCCAACCCCAAACCCAAACCCAAACCCAACCCCAACCCCAACCCCAAACCCAAACCCAAACCCAACCCCAACCCCAACCCCAAACCCAAACCCAAACCCAACCCCAACCCCAACCCCAAACCCAAACCCAAACCCAACCCCAACCCCAACCCCAAACCCAAACCCAAACCCAACCCCAACCCCAACCCCAAACCCAAACCCAAACCCAACCCCAACCCCAACCCCAAACCCAAACCCAAACCCAACCCCAACCCCAACCCCAAACCCAAACCCAAACCCAACCCCAACCCCAACCCCAAACCCAAACCCAAACCCAACCCCAACCCCAACCCCAAACCCAAACCCAAACCCAACCCCAACCCCAACCCCAAACCCAAACCCAAACCCAACCCCAACCCCAACCCCAAACCCAAACCCAAACCCAACCCCAACCCCAACCCCAAACCCAAACCCAAACCCAACCCCAACCCCAACCCCAAACCCAAACCCAAACCCAACCCCAACCCCAACCCCAAACCCAAACCCAAACCCAACCCCAACCCCAACCCCAAACCCAAACCCAAACCCAACCCCAACCCCAACCCCAAACCCAAACCCAAACCCAACCCCAACCCCAACCCCAAACCCAAACCCAAACCCAACCCCAACCCCAACCCCAAACCCAAACCCAAACCCAACCCCAACCCCAACCCCAAACCCAAACCCAAACCCAACCCCAACCCCAACCCCAAACCCAAACCCAAACCCAACCCCAACCCCAACCCCAAACCCAAACCCAAACCCAACCCCAACCCCAACCCCAAACCCAAACCCAAACCCAACCCCAACCCCAACCCCAAACCCAAACCCAAACCCAACCCCAACCCCAACCCCAAACCCAAACCCAAACCCAACCCCAACCCCAACCCCAAACCCAAACCCAAACCCCAAACCCAAACCCAAAACCCAAACCCAAACCCAAACCAAACCCAAACCCAAACCCAAACCCTTGATGATTAATATATCTTTTCAATCTTTTTAATCTCTAATACTTTTAATATCAATTGAAAATAATAAATGGCTGTTGTTAAAATATTACCAAGATCAGAGTAGAGTGATTTTTAAAATCATTCAATCCCAATGTTTTAACTTTGTTTCATTTAAGATTGTTAGTAAAATTAATTTTATTTTATAAATTCTTTAAATGTATCTTTCTTCTCATCATTGTTATTAATTGTATTATTACCTATTTTATAAACTAACAATCAAATCTTTTTATAAATAGTGTTAATTTAGGGCTTACTGTACTGTTTAGATTATAAATTTAATGTAATACCAGTTGTTTGTGACATCTAAAGAAATAATTTTAATAATATTAAATTATAATGGTGTAATCACTTGCTAGAAATGGAATACTTTTGAAAAACATGTAATTATCTATCTTAAGAAATGAAGATCAAGAATTGAAACTAAAATCTAAAGTTTTAAGAAAATGATTAAAATTGTAATTGTAATTTTTTAAATGAATAATCAAATTCACTTTTGCTTAAGTCTTCTAAAAAGCAACTTCCTATGAATTTGAACAATGTTTTAAATCTATCCCTTCATAATTCATGAATTGTCCTTATAAAATAAGTGTTCCTGATGCTTGAAACAAAGGATTCTAGCATATTCTAAGTATTGTACAATAAGGATTAACTAATAATAATTAATAATAAATACCATTTGGCAATAAGGAGCTATTCTGAAGAGGTAGGTTAAACTAGGCAAGCAAATCTTTATAGCTACTATCTGATTGAAGTGTTTCCTTTGATGTTTTTACATCCCATAAACGGATAGACTAATCATAACTACCAGATGCTAATGTAGTACCATCAGGAGAGTAACAAATTGAAATAACACTATCTGAATGACCATCTAATTTGGCTTTTTCTTATCCTGTCTTAACATCCCATAAACGAATTACTTAATAACCACCAGATGCTAATATAGTACCATCAGGAGAGTAACAAATTGACATAAACGGATAGAATTATCATAACTACCAGTTGCTAGTGTAGTGGGCAGTTTCAAATTGATCTTTCAAGTACCAGAATACTACTTAGTAGTAGTGCTTGAACTAGTTTATACTTCTTTTAATAGCTCATAGTTTTGTTTTCCATCTTCTTCCAGTTTTCTCGGTGAGTATATGAAACTGTCTTAATTGATATCATGGGTAGCTACAGAAAAGCAAATGTTAATAAAGACTAATATTTTGCTCAGCAATCTAATCTTATTACAAATCTAATAGCATGGTTAGCATGAATTAGAATTAACCATATAGAAACCTCATAGATATTGTAAAGAAGTGCCACCATTTATTGTATCAAGAATAAGCACTTAGTGTACTAATACAATTTCGAAGTAAATTTTACAATCCTAGTTGACTACTTTTTGTTGATACAGTTTATATTTGTTAGGTAACGTTAATAATAATTCTCATCCACTTATTTTACTAATAGAACTTGTAAAGATTCTTTGAGGCCTAAATTTTATATTCTCAAGATAATCCTTAAGGCTTTTGAAATGGAGAAATTATTATTACTTATTTTTAATAATTAATATTTGTGTACCTGAGTAATATGTAAATTAAATACCACTATTTCAAGGTATGTCTGAGCTGTGCTAAACATGTAAGACTAATGAAAATTTTTGACATTATTGAGAACCTTCCTAATTGACATCATTTACATACTATGCGCCAGATTTGGTATATCCTTTGACACAATAAGCACACTTGCAAGTTTATTTGAGGAACTTGATTGAAATGGACTTCATGAAGTATTAGAGGTGTCAAAAAATTTCAATTCTATGTTTTTCTAGCTATTTCAATAAGCAAGCTATGTTCCTTAGTATAATCCAGTGAAACAGATCATATTTGGGATCAGCACATCATTTCGCATGCTAATCAACAAGCTCTTTTGGTCTAGCCATCAGCATTAAATGTCTTTGTGATAATGCTTCCAGTACAGTTTTAGAAGAACTTTAATAATTACAAGTGAATCATACTGAGTAACTATCTTAAATCCCTCCTTTATTTATGTCAGCATCTTATTTTCAAAGTATTAGTTTATCCAATTTCAAATACATTTAGTGTTGATTACCGTCCATATGCTGGATGAAATAATTAATTTGAGACCTCAGAGGTTTGAGTTCGGCAAAGAAATCTAGAAGAAGCGGAATATTGAAGTGCATTGATTTCAAAACTCAATAACAAATTGAATTAAGGTATGCATCACTACCAATCGTTGCAAATAGTAAGATGCAGGCTCATCAGGATATCCAGCAGTAGTATCAGACTAATAATTCATAGTTATTTTATGTGAATCTGTAAGATAAAAGAGACAGTTACTATTGTCAAAATCATAGTCATCAAGACGTTATGAATCTACAGTTGCAATTTTCTGGGAAATATCGCAAGAAATTATAATAATGAGCTGGCTTTATTTCTCCAAGCAAGGCAAAGAAAGGTGTAAGTTGGATATGCATTATCTAACATAGCCAACAACACAATTATACATAAGGATAACCAGTTCATCGATATCAAGTCATGAATAGTTATGATCATTGCAGCTAGTAGATCATCTTTGTAAATCTGCAGGAAAATAGCAATAAATTCATTCTTAATTTGAATATAATGCAAACACATGTAACCGAATAGTGCAACAAAATATAAATTGTTTGTTGCCTTCTAGAAGTAGTAATCCAAGTCTAGTAAATGTAAAATGAATTTCGACAAAATTAATCACACAAACCTAGTGACAGCAAGATCCCAGAACTGTCCCATATAGCTCAAGGATAAGAACTGATAATAAACTCGTATCATCTCTGAAACTGCGAGCAAATTAGTGCTAGCCAAGTTTGAAAAAGAAAGATGGCAGATAGTTTAACACTATACAACAGAGAAATTTTAATATATTTGCTAAATTAGGCAGTCGAATACTAACAAAATTTAGACAGAATTGTGCTGAAAGATATGAAAGCTATAACATAGAAATAATATAGGAATGCTTGGATCAATATATTTTCATCAGTAGGATAAGGAAGAATAAACCACACTCATGCCTTACTAAATGATTTAGATTTATTTTAATGGGTCCACAATGGAAGTAAGTATTAGAACATTAGCTCAAATTGTTGTAATTGCACTAAAGATCTAATATGTAAGAAGAATGAAGGAAGCCTAAGCTACTCAAGTTGCAAAGTATACAGGCTAAACAACAATTCTAAATTGTATTTGATACATAATGAACATTCAGATTCACAGAATGAAGGCATTAAGAAAAGAACACGTATTATTATTTTGGAAATAACATACATAAGCTTAGTTCTGACAATCACATTATGTTAAATTGATGCAACTGCTTTGATATTATGAATAATTTGATGGTTTGCTTTAAAACTTAATTTGCAAAATTTCAAGGTGATGAGGATTACCATTATTACTTAACAAACAATGCAAACTCAAGAAGCATATTTATAGAGCAAACATAATTTGGCATAGGGTAGAAGCAGCAGACATTGCTCCATGTAAATAAAATTTAGACAAAAGAGTAAGAACACATTAGTCGATGATGCTGTAGCACATCTAATTGCAGGATGAATCACTAATTGAGAAATAATTTGCTCCAAAATAGAAATTTTAACAAAAAAAAGAAAATTACATTTTTTACATGAAGGCTTAATATTAATCCTCCTGAAGCGTTACGGTTTCGACACTATTTGTAACGCTTCCAATTCAGATAGACATCTTATAAACGAATTAAATAATCCTCCTCTAGAAAGAATTTATGCTTTGCATATTTGTCATATGTTAGTTCTACTAGAAAAGTAGAAGAGACAATTGCACGAAGAAATAGCAAATTCTTAAATTAAATAAAGTATGAGCAAGCAAATCATCACAATCAGCATTCAATAGCCCATTAAAATTATTAATAGGTTGCAAAATTATAAATATCCAGATATTCATTGTGCATTATTCAATAATATACACAATGATAATTTTTTGTACACTTATTAATGTACTGCTATTGACAATGCATTAGCCATTAAAAGGTATAGTTATTCTTAACAGAAAATTCAATGGTGAAAGTAGTATAAATTCTTTTGATCATAACTTACTGTTTATTGGGATGGACATTAAGAAAAAGCGATACTATATTCACTGCAATTCTTAGAAGTTGAGATGAAGCTTGAAGTACATTTAGCATAATTAGCATATACTTTTGATAGATTGTTTAACATACATTACAAGCTTATGGAGTCATTTTAAGACGGCATCAAGAACAACTTTCAACAGTTGTAGAGAATATCTTACAAGTAGTAAAATATTTAGTCCAATTACAGGTAGCATATAGAGAAATGTATTTCTTACAAGTGTTTACATCGAACTTATATCCAGATAAACAAGTTCCCAACAATGGTTATGGTATAGGAAATATTACTCTATAAGATTTGAGGTGTGTCTTACATATAAAATAGGATGGCTTATTTGATAATGATAGAAGTTAATTTTAATTATATTTAACTCGTTGATAAAAAATTGGCCAAAAAAAACGATTATGGAATTTTTTGTCAAAAGTGAGTCATGTCACCTTTAAGGAATATTGATAATAAAATATATTATCAAATGCATACACGAAATCACTTAAAGTACGACCAGTGATGTAATATACAGCGTTTAGGTAATTTATAGTGATTGTAATTATTTTTAATAGGTGTTAACATTAAATATCTTTTTAATTTTCAGAACAACTAAAGTTACTTTCAGTTAAAAACAATTTCAATTCTTAAGGAGAAATCCTATGGTTAATAATTGCCTCGGATAAATATTGATATTGAAATTGGAATACTGAACGTAAAACAAATATGGAAAGGCGCTTGTGCTAATAGGATTCTCATCTTACATTAAAGATCTATTTATGGTTAATGTAGATTCAACCAAATTAATATATTAGATTGTACCTAATATAGATAAGCCGTTTAATGTAAAAAAAGATAAAAATGGTGCTAAATAAACATGAAATTGTTGTGAGGCCTATTTTTAGAATTCACACTTTTGGCCTTGGAATACAAACAAATATTTCGGGGAATAATTTACCAATGGACTGAAAGTCTGGTTGGAACTAATTATTAATATCTAAATTCTACTCTTGGGAGGCACGAATTAATGTAAATGGAATATCGATATAAATTCATCAACTTGATATAATAATGAAATATTGAATTGCTTTGTAAAAAAAAAAGTGGGAAGATATCTTGCAGAGGTTATAGTAATAGTACAGAGTGATCAGTAAATGAGGCTAGAATTTAGAACTAAAAGAATCCGTAGTGGAGGGAAAATCCTCAGGTGAAGGAAGGTATTTATATTACCTTAAAAATACCTGGATTTCAACTGGCAACGGCACTTATTAAGGCAAAAACCCTAAGAAGAATAATCTTACATATATACAGCCTCAAATTAATAAGTAATGATTTTGCCCTAAACTCAACGAAAATAACAATAGTTACCTATTTTTGAGAAGCTTGATATGTATACATAGTTCTGCACGAGTTGTTAAATATGCATGATAATAATAACGCTCTGCCAAAATATAAACTAAGCTGGTGCAATATTTTATTCCATAACATTGTGAATAAATTTACCTATTTTACTCTATTATTAAGATCATTTATTTTGTCTATCTCAAAAATTATATTTTCGAAATAGATGATGAAATTATTCCCAATACCAATTCTGCAACTTCATTACTAGTTTTTATACCAAGATTATTATCATATTCAAATTCTTTATCCTAGTATTTAATACTTATACAATAT